CATGGGACGTAGATTGTATGACATTTTTTTTCCCCTAGGACACTGAACAGTCAATTCTCTTAGATTTGTGACAGTGAACAACACAAACCACTTTTTCTCTGAGACTACGGGAAATAATACTATTCTCATAGTATGTTAAAGTTTGCTCTTTTGGTTCCATCTGGTATCAGCACAGAAAAACATGGAAAAGAGCATAATCTATGCAAATCTGAAGATTCCTTCTCTGCCCGGTTTTTCAATGTAAGACAGTGTGAGCAGCAGCTTAAGTTAGATACTTTGGCAGATGCTAAACAAAAACGTTTAAGTGCAATCCAAAAGAAGATTCAGCATTAATCACCTCAAACTGAAACTGCCTGAGGTGTTATCTGCTTCTCTTCACACTCAGCATCAGAACATCTTCTTTATTTGTTTTATAGTAATGATACATAATCTTCTTCTAATATTTCATTTATCCATGTAGATAGAAAACTATGTGATGAATATTTCTTTTCAGTTTGATGTATGCTGAATGTAGCAGTGAGACACTGAACAATTTTCCACACACACAAGTGTGCACGTGCAATGCAAAATCGTTTCTCATGTCGCAAGCATCCCATCCTTCATGTTGTCATCACTGTAGGTAAGATCTTCTGCATTTGCATGGCAGTAACCATACTTTCTTCCAATTTCTAGACTGTCTCTCTCTTGGAAATTAGTTACATATTTTGTCTCTCTTTCTGTGTCTTTTCACTTGATTATGAGTAAATCATGACTTCCATTAAACAAAACAAAACAAACAAAAAATCTGATGTAATATAGTAATAATAATAATAATGTATATAGTAATAATAATGTAATATAGTCTTGTACCATAATTAAAAATGCATTACTGAGCTGTAGCTGAGGGAAAACCTTGTGACCAGCTTGATTTTTACAGGGTAATGTCAAACCTAGGCAATAGCTTTCATATTTGAAGAGACATTTTCAATGTGTAGAAGATAAGAAAAGTGAAGGACATTTGACGCACAAGGATTTTACTGGGATTTTTCCCAGCTTAAATAAATAATAGAAGAATGAAACCACTGTTTTTCCTTGAGGAGCAACTCTAATACACCAACATCCATGGACTCATTTAAATCCCCAGGTTCAGAGACATTTGAGTAAGAATTCCAGTTATTTTTAACACCTTTTCAATCTACATTAAAAGATGAACAAAATTAACCATAGGGCTTGTCTAACAGCAAGTGCAAAGCAGTTAGCTAAATTTGAAATGGAAAGAGACATGAAACAGCCCTCCATTCTCTAATTAATCCTGTACCTCTACACAGCAGAAGTCTGAAATTATGGAGAAGACATTTAGCCTGCAGTAACTCAGCAGTAATGCTCTTCTGCTGTGCATTCTGAAGCACTGACAAAACCACTGAAGAAGAATACTGTTTCTCATGTAGAAGATTCTGGAATTGAATGAATCAGGGAATAGAGAAGGTGATTCCCTAACACTCCCTCTAGACAATACAGAGATGACCCCACTAAAAGGTCAAATGACCTTGTACTATACATCTGCAACACCAAATTTTTGGAACTTGTCAAGGAAGAGAGTTGAGGCCAGCTGCAGTGGGAAAGGCTGATTGCCAGGCTGCCTGCACGCATCTATCCCATCTTGTTTTTCTCCAGCAGCTGTGGGGCAGCAAACCCCTTCCCCACTGCCCTGTCCCTTGCCCACCACAAGGAACCACTGGAAGTAGGAGACTACACAACAGTGAAGGCAAAATATTCATCCAGAATCACACAGAAATTAAGGTATTTTACAAGGCTTCAGTACAGGTTTCCAAAGTCAGCATGCATGACTTTGAGAATAATTGTTTTTGTCAGTTGGTCATTCCAGTCTGAGAACTTCTGAATGAAAAACGGGAATTTTATCATATGGAAACAGGTCCAGTGAGCAAAACCATAATATTTTTCTATTTATTATATCTTTAATCTCATCAATTGTATCTATTAAGAAAAAAAAGAAAGGAAGAAACCTTGGGCAACTTTCCCTCACTGTTCAATGAACAGCACCTAATTTTGCAATAAATCCTCCAAGATGCCCTTCAGCTACATCTGGACTAATCGGACTGTTAATCTTCCATGGAAAGAGATCTTTAGAACACAGATCATATGGCTGTAAAAGCCTTGTATATCCATAACACAGAAAAAAATGTTAAGATCTCATTCTTTCCTCCACCTATTATAGGAAAGATGCTCTTATTACTCAAAACATACTCATTAAAAAATCAACAGTTAGAATGCTTCTTTCTTACACGCTAAGAACATCGATTTTTCATTGCAATTCAGATCAGGGTACATGATGTGAAGAGTAATAATTCTATTGTAATACAGATATACGCATGCAGCACAATAATATAATATGAAAAAAACCACGTGATTTGGAGTGCAAATAATTAATTAAGCCCTTGTTCTTTCACAGTACATTTACTGGTAATTTGATAAATACCTCTGACTGTCAATTTTTACTGCAAGCATTCCTTTTTTTTTGTGACTATTTAAAAGTCAGAACTTTATTTATTATTGTGTATGTATGTTGCAGAGAAAAATACAAAAAAATTAAATTGAAAAAAAAAAAAGATGGAGATAGAGTAGGAAGATAGAGTTATACAATCAGATTTCTGAGCATCATTCATTTCCTTGGGCAAATCAAGTATCCTGAGGTCAGCTATTCACTTATTATGCATACACTGTCAGGAAGTGCTAGACTTGTCAAAAAATAATTATCTTCACTATTGTTGTTAACAAAGATAATTGCATGAGTGCAGTTAGTTCCCAAGTACTTAAACTCCAGAGCCAGAATTTCAAGCCTCTGCTTCCCAGAGCAAAAGCATGGGAATAGACACCAGTGATTGTTCAGCACTGGTCTGACAATGTAGAAGCACTACACTTATCTGCTTGATAACAAAAATATGTTACATATGTGACTGAATTAATAGTAAAAATGATGAAGTTATCCAGAGGATTAAATTTCCACTATACTGTCAGCTACAAGAACAAATTTCATTATTTATACCTGTGTGCATAAAAGATTTTTTTTGGTTGCTCCAGTAGGACCAAATCAGTCTGCGTTTCTCAGAAAATTTGCTATGCAGTGAGGATACCCACACCGAACATGATTTTGCATAAGGACTAAAGGTACCAGAAAGATATCTGGTGGCCAAGATGAAAAACTACAAGTTGAAGTTTAGGTTCAGTTTTACCTCAGATTTACCCTCAGCAGGTTGATAATTAGTGTTGTTGTGCTTTAGTTTCTCCATCTTCATAGGAAAACAAGTGCTTCATAGGACTGCATCAAAGAAAATATGTAATTATAAAAAAATTTAAAAAGAGAACCATCAAAAGAAGCATGGTCTGCATCAAAAGAAGCATGGCCAACAGGGTGGGGGAGGTGTTCCTGCCCCTCTGATCTGTGCTCATGAGACCTCACTTGGAATGCTGCATCCAGATGTGGAGTCCTCAGTCCAGGAAAGGCATTGACCTGTTGGAGTGCATCCAGAAGAGGGCCACACAAATGACCCAAGGGATGGAACACCTCTCCTATGAGGACAGACTGAGAGAGCTGGGGCTGCTCAACCTGGAGAAGACAAGGCTCTGAGGAGACCTGGTAGTGGCCTTTCAGTATATAAAGGGGAGCTGTAAGAAGGAATGGGACTGACTCTTTAGCAGGGTCTGTTGTGATAGGACAAGATGAGGAGAAATGGTTTCAAACTAATCGAGGGAGATTTAGATTGGCTATCTAAAAAGAAGTTTGTCACAGTAAGAATAGTGAGGCACTGGAACAGGTTGCCCCAGAGATGTGAATGCACCCATGTCTGGAGACACTCAAGGTCAGGCTGGACAGGGCTCTGAGCAACCTGTTCTTGCTGTAGATGCTCCCGTTCACTGCAGGGGAGTTGGACTAGATGACCTGTAAGGGAGCTTTCAAACTCAAATGATTCTATTACTCTATAAGAAACCAGACAATATATTTAGTCTTCATCTCCTTTGTATCAGTCCAGTTAATCTATTTACTAATTCACTAGTTTCTATCAACGGCTGTTTGAATATTTATTTTGAATCTGCTAATTTCTTCAGGAAAATGAGAACAGCTCTATTTTTATGTATGTTCCATTTACTGAAAATGAAATTGAACTATTTATTCCCATATAAAGAATGTGGCACAGTTTTCCATCAGACTTTTAACAAGTTATGAATGTGAAGCTTTCTAGTCTCTTGATGAAAATACACTCTGAAAATGAATATTATATTATCCAGATGTATACAAACATCTTGGAAAACCACACAGAAAACATTACATACAGGTGATCAATCACGTGCAAAAGATATACTAACAATTTTCCTTAAGTCCCAGTATTTTTAAACACTGCAATGCTTTACCATACACAGACATAATAAAGTCATTTTGATATGTAGGCAGTTCATGCTAAAGCTGCATTTTCACAGAACAGAGAAATGTTACAAATACATTAGTTGAGGGGAATGTGGTAGTGTTCTGCTGAAACATAAATAACACTTTTCACTTTAAAAGAATATGACAAATCACGTTGTCAACCTGTATACTTCAGAAGCAATCAATATTTGAGTAAATCTATGCTTTTGGCATAACTTACTGTTATAATTTAATGTCAGTTAAGATAATCTTACAGTGTAAAGAGAAAACCCAGAACTTTCTTTACCTAACACAATAATAAGCTTCTCCTCTTTCCCAAGAAATGTGTAGTAGCACCTGGTCAACTACCGTAATTATGGTGCCAAAATCTGACCACTAATCAGGTCCTCTACACTTGAACTTATTTTCAGAATGTCTTTGTGTGTCAGTAATTGGCTTGGTTCAACCCACTAGGACTTCTTAAATGTTCCAGAAATGTCTGTGTGAGTCTAGTTCAAACTGCAGTGGTAACCTGCGTCAGTCCAAGATCATTGGACTCTTCTCTCTCTTGCGGACAGTAAGACGACATTTCCACGACTAGTCATACAGGTTTGTTTGTCCCATCTGCTTCCCTCCTATAAGCTGGGTCTTGCACGGTGTTTCGAATTCTGCTGGTACTCTGCCTGTCCATCCTCATCTTAAAGGGGAAGCAGAAGTCTTTGAAACATCTCTTGAAGTTTTCATCCAAAAAGGCATAAAGGATAGGATTGAGGCTGCTGTTGGTGTACCCCAAAGCAATACAGAAATAATAGCTGGATACAGCAGCAGTACTGTGGGACACGTCCCCCAGTGCTTCAACCAGCACAAAAATGTGAATAGGAGTCCAACAGATAATAAAAACTGCCACAACAACAAGAACCAACCTGGTGATGCGACGCAAGTTTCGATCTTTTTCTCGAGACCCTGAGAGAAGTCGTACGCTTTTAAGGCGCAGGATCATCAGAGTATAGCAAACAATTATAATGAGCACTGGAATAACAAATGCAAAGACAAAGACACAGATTTTCATGAAGATGTCCCACCACACATAGTCTCTGTCTGGGAACTGCAAGGAGCATTCAGTGCTAGCAGTATCTAGGAAAGAAAGAAGCAAGAAAAAGAAAATTGCTTTATTATTAGATATTCTAAATAATATAATTATCATGGTGTAAGCTAGAGAAAGTGATTATCTTGCGTTGTGATACTAATAATGGAAGTTATCATTAAATCACTCAATGAAAAGCTTTACATTACCACTGAAATTAGTTTTACACAGCTTTCTCTGGAAATTACTTACACAGAGATGGGTTTTTTAAACTGCATAACATTGTATAAATGTAATTTCCCACAGGAGGAGCTAAGAACACAGGCAGAAAAAATTTATAAAATAGGATGAACAATTTTTTTCCATTTGAATCTCACTGAGATTTAAAGCCAAGAAGAGTATACCAGGTTTAATGGAGTGGAAAACTCATGATTACTATCAAACTATACAAGATTTTGTCTGCATAAGGAGGCAGATTTTTCATATTATGAATGGTGGCAGTGCAATGAGCTTTTGATTGTAGGAAGATTTTGCCAATGTGCGATAATTGTGTAGTAATATTTTCCCATGTGTTTTCTTCAGAGTACATTGAATACACGGAAATTCTTGCATTCAGAAAAATTAATTCCTGGCAACAGATTCTTTTCAGTCACATAGAAGCAACAGATTCTTTTCAGTCACATAGACTCTGCACATTGTGTGCAGAGTCAAATGGAAGCTGCTCTTTTTGCAGATCACATCACTGAAAATTCAGACTGCTCAGCAACTGTGGGATCTGAACCACCGGTGCCATCCCACTTCCTTTCTCCTTGCTTATGCCAAGATTCAAAGTCACGAGCTGTCACATTATTTTATGTCCCAGAAATATTCCATCTGACAGGAGGCTGCTAAGGTGTGAAATATTTGAGGTTTCATTTTCTGACCTCATGGCCACCTTCCAGCATATAAACCACATAGCAAAACAAGAGATAAGATAAATAGCAAAGCAAAACAAGGGGTAAATTTATAACTACTATCAGCAGTTAAAATTCACTGAAGACAAGCCAAGGTAACATGAGGTATTTCACTCTGAATTGTATCTTATATTTTCTCCTGCCAAATCTGCATTATTCTTTGGTTTGCTTTTGTTTTGTTTTTTCCCCTAGGGAATTCATCATTCCTCTGCAAACTGGTATCTACTGGCTATGTTGAATCAGACCAAAGGGTGGAAAGCTTCAATACACTGTTGCATATCACTTTTTTATATGTCTCTGTAAGACTAGTCAGAAAAAAAATCCATCAAACTGTATTTCCTTGCTATCAAAATGTTTCACAAACCAAGCTGATGTTGCTGATATTGTTGTGAAGAAGGGCTGTTTGCGTGTGCCTGCGTGTGAAGTTATCCTTATGGTATCATACAGACATGTCCATGGATAGATATCAGAAAGGTGTCACTGGATGAGTTAAATTCTAAAATAACAAATAAGAAGTTGAAAATGAAACTAAATATTTTGAAATATTGTTTCAGAGAATATAATAACTAATGGATGATTCTGAAAGCTGAAAAGTGAAAAGACATCTTTCAAGACTGACGCAGAATGATAAACTGATAACACAATTATAATGTCATAGGCCTGAAGCTTTCAATCAACTTCTCTTAATCCTCTGTGATTATATGTTGACAAAGTAAGCTGCTCTTCTGATATTTTATTCTAGAAACTTTAATAATGATCTTCAAGGAAACTTCCACATTGAATACTACTGTTATTTGTAGTAGACCACAGCCTAGCTGCAGCAATCAAAACAGGATGAGGGTACAACAGTTAGATCAGTAAGCTGCAGCTAGATGTGCAGCTGAGATAAATGTGAGCTGTGGTTGATCAGGGATGACTGCTCTACGCCACATCCATTCACTCACTGAAACTGTCCCTCTTCACAGCTAATTTCAGGGATTTATCCAAATTATTAGGTTAGAAAAAGTTCCTGCTGATTAAGATGTTTATTCCAATCAAATCTTCCTGAGAAAGCCAGAGGAATCCATGCGTTTTGCTGCCACTTCTGAGAGGGTAGGTGTTGCTGAACATCTGGAGTCACGCTGAAATGAAAGCCTGGAACCTTCAGATGCAGGTGGAAGAGCAAGTATAGCCCAGCCACCATCCCCCAGCAAAGGGCTCAGAATCCAGGCAGCCCTTCCAGTAACAGACAAGGAAAAATCAGAAATTACTTAGAAATTCTACTGTGCCAACATTATTCTATCCTAATCAAAACCATCTGGAAAAAAAAAGGTTTACAATGTTTCACATTCTGTGAATTTGAACAGATAATTTTGACATTGCTTTTCATTGAAAAAAATCTTTTAATTTTACAGTGAAAGATATTTAAACTGCACTTAATTACTGAGATAAAAAATGTGAAATTAATTGTATTATAAATATAAGCAAATATTTTAGTATTAAAATAAGTATTGATACACTAATATACTAAATAAGTACAAATATAATAATACTAAATATAATATAATAATAGTACTAAAAATACTAATACAATATTAAATTGAATATACACAAAAATAAAAATAAAATATAGGCATAAGTATACTCTGAGAAGGTTAAAAAAAAAAAAAAAGCATTAGTATACTTGATTCAATTTTAATTCTGGAAGCTTTTTTAATAAGAATATTCACAGAATCACAGAAACACCAACGTTGGAAAAGACCTACAAGATCATCCAGTCCAACCATCCATCTATCACCAATAGTTCTCACTAAACCATATCCCTCAACACAAAATCCAAATTCTCAAAAGAAATGCTTTATCTCCTTCAGAAGAAGACAGAAAAAAAAATCTGCAGGTCCATGACCCCTAAATACAGTTATGCTTGCTACACTTTATATAATTTTGTAAATGACAATGGTATTTCAGGAGCCAATAAATTATTGAATATAAACGTAATGGCTGTTCAAGATTCATAACAATTTACTTAAGTCTTATCCTAAATTCATAGTGTTGTCTCTCCCAGTGACATGGATGCCATATGAAATCCATTTACTTTTTCGTGGTTTACATTGATGGCCAACAAATATCCCTGTCAGAGATACACAATATCACAATCACATTCAGGTGTTTGAGGAAAGAATAAAATGCAGGGTTCTTTTGGGCTACTTTCTGCCTGAAGAAGTTCAGAACTAAGTAGAGTACAGTGTCACAAAATGAGCATTTAAAATTTCAGTGTCTTGTCCCACTCTGAAGCCAGCTATTCCAATATTTCAATGTACTTAAAGAAAAGCATTTCAGATGGTACTTTTGTATAAAGGTATATTAAAATATTTGATAAGCTACCGCTTAAGATTCATCTCAATCCTTGTACACGATATCTATTTCTGTTAAATGTCTTAGTAACCTACTGCCTTCAGGCATTCATACTTCTCTCTACTCAACTGAGTTATTAAACTGGAGCCTTTTCTTTTCTAAAGCAAATGCTTCTTCAGCAATAAAGGCTCCATTAAGTCCAGAGAGGGAAAATTTATACAGATATAAGGAAAATGCATCTGGAAGGACACTGCAGGGAGAAATCCTGCATTGTGAGAATAAAAAGGACTAATTGAGCATGGGTTTGTAGCTTTAAATATAGTCAGTTTCTGTTTGATGTTGTTTAAATCCAAACCCAACAGAGGCTCTGTAGCATATAAACAGCAACTATTGTCACCAATGTAAAATAAAGTTTCTGCCCTGAGCTCCTGCTGTAAGGAGTATCTTAGTATTCTCCCCTTTGCCACAGCACAATTCATGAACACACCAGAAAAAATAACTGGTAATAAACGCTCAAGAGGCACTGTAGATCAGACAAGCAGGGCTGAACAGTAGGGACTGACAAACATTTACCAGTGATTTCCAAGCTCATTTGGCCCAGCTGTATTTCTAATAGGTGTTTCTGCAGGAAAAAATATCTACCTGCCATGAGGTGTGAAAAAGGCATTTAATCGTTTCTGGCCTCAGAGCAGCCCCTTGATCCAAATATGATGATTACAAAATGAAAAGAACATTCTGGTAGTTAAGCATGCTTCAAACAAAACACTTGGCCAATGTTTTATAACCTTCAGAATTTCTTAAGTAGACAGACTAAAATTCTTCTCACAGATGTTCTGAAGTGTTTTTTTCCTGAGCTGCACATGGCTTTATATAGCCTGTAAGAACTTGATAGGGAAGAAGAGTTACAGCACTGCAAATTGGAAAACTTGAACTCCCAAATGTCTGAAAGATGTTTCCAGAGACGCTCTCCTTTCACATACCCACTGTAAGACCAACAGAAAAAAAAGAATTTGAATATCCTCAATCAAATAAAACAGCACTTGAGCAGCTGTTTTATTAATGAACACCATTGTTTTGTTTGCACTGATCTATGCCAAAGAGTTAAACACACTGCATTTATTTTCTCTCCCGGATAAAACTGTGCCCTTATGTAAAGTTTACCAGTTCTCCTGGGAGGAGTGAAAACTTTCTACTGGAATAGGCAGCTAAATGAGCAATTTGTTAATCATTTGTCAAAAGAAAAGTAACATCCCAGACAACACTACTACCAAATAAATATGTATGCCTTGTATTTCATAGATCCATCCATAACAGAATGTCCTCAACACCAGGACATACATTAGAGGTTTTGAAGACACAGTATTGCACCCATATTGCTGCTATACCTGCTGGTAGGAAGTACATATCTCCCCTTTCCTTTTCAAGGATTTCAGAATAAGATTAACTCCCTAGCAGAACATAGTAAAGAGTCACTGGATATAGGGGCTAAATCTGCAGTCCTTCACAGATTACAAATTTCAACAGAGCCTACAGCACTCCATGGTCACATTCATTGACTTTATGTTCTGTAGTTGCTTCCCTGCCATGCCCTGTGTTCCTGGTTCCTCTGCTGATGCTTCTCAGCCTTTCCAAGTCTACATACACGTCCTACTCCTTTTTAAATAAGAATTTCTGACACTGTCATTTTCTTAGCATTTAGCTTACCTTTTTTCTCTCCAGCTACTGTCTTTCTTCCTTTTTTCACCAAATCTTTAAGTTCTGTGAAATGGTTGCTGACAAAAAGCTCCCAAGCTTTAATAGTAATGCTAATGAGAAGCAAACTAGTTTCTGCTCTTGAAACCTCATCAGAACTACTCTCACAATGCCTATAGAAAGAACTCTCAGCCTACATTTCAAGTTTCATCTGGTCTTTGAATTTTCAGCCATGTTCAAATACCTGACGACTTCCCCCTGCTGTCTGTTGTTATTTTCTTACGGTCTCAGTCTAGCACATATAGTGCTTCAAAGTGCACTTGATTCTTTAAGTTGGCAATGATATCTGAGCTTAAATTCTTTATACGCCATATTTCAAAATGTCAGAAATTTAGGCACACTTTTTGAAACAAGGAATGTGAATGATCTTCTGTGTGTAAAGTTTGCACAAATTACCAAAGTCAAAATCAATCAGGTTTAGTCAATATTCCAAGCAATGTTTTACATCATTCAAATAAAATGAAGTCTCCGCTTTGCATGTTCACACTCACCTTCCCTGACTTTGGTACCTCCGAGAACTATGGCAGATATGCCAACAGATGAGGACAACAGCCAGATACAGATGTTGATTATCTTTGCCTTGAGAGGAGTACGGAAGTCCAGAGCCTTCACAGGGTGACATACAGCAATGTATCGATCAACGCTCATCATGGTCAGTGTGAATATGCTGGTAAACATGTTATAATAGTCGATCGAAATAACTATTTTACACAGCACATCCCCAAATGGCCAAGAGTTCATCAGGTACTCTGTGCTTTGGAAAGGCATAGTCGTGGTAACTAGTGCATCTGCCATAGCCAGATTGAAAATGTAGATGTTGGTTGCTGTCTTCATCTTTGTATATCTGAAAGACAAAATAGTAAGGTTTATATGACTGAGTACGTTCAAATACGTAACAGTTTTTCAGACAATCTGCAGTCGTTATTTTTTTGCTATCATTCCTAATTTGTGACAGAAGTGCACACATTCAGGACCCTTGAATTAACAGTAAACACCTTTCATTCAGTCCCTCAACCTGCATGATCAGTTACAGCTATCCAGTACGCGTAAAACCAGATAATGAATAAATTTAATCTAATAATCCAAACAATGATTTCCATGCTATCTTCTCAACTACATCTACAAGCAAATATCATTGTTATATTTGCAAGTGACAAAACTGTTTTGTGTTTCCTTTTCTTATTGCTAACTGTCAGTATTTACAAATGTATTGTTTGTTTTGTTGTAGCAATAGACATTTCATGGATGTAGGAATCTCTGTTAATAGTTACTTTTGCTGGGCCAGATTGCCATCTTGTACAAGTTCTAGCAATGTATCTTCTTTTCTCCCACATTTCCAATTTCTCCTCCTTCATCTCCAGATTTTCCCTGCCTAATCTTCCACAACTTCTATTATAAAAGATGATAACTATTTAAGCAGGATATCTCAATGGAAAAAAGTATCATAGCAATGCCTTCTCTGCATCCTTTAATTTCACCAAAATGAAGCATTTCTTTTTTCCATGTAGCGAGAACCTTAACCTACACAGAGAAATATGATCTTAAACAGGACCATGCTTTCTTCTGTATAATGCTAACTTTAACTCTGTGGGCACAGGTTCTGTACCAGGGTGAAGAGGACTGCTGCCAGCTCTACTATGGACACAAAGCATCAATCAGAGAATCATAGAATCACAAGGTTGGAAACGACTTGCAAGATCATCTGGTCCAACCGTCCTCCCATTACCATTGCTACCACAAGAACTAAGCCATATCTCATCCAGACGTCTCTTGAACACTGCCAGGGATGGTGACTCCACCACCTCCCTGGGCAGGCCATTCCAGTGTTTGACCACTCTCTGAGAGAAAAGTTCTTCCTTATGCCTAACCTAAACCATGAAGGAAAGCCTCTCTCATTTCCATTATTAACATAGGAATATACTTAACTCTCCTCTCTGAAATGCTTTTCCCCTTTCACTGTGTAGTGAAAGTTACTTTTGCTCATTGCCATCAATTTATTACAAGATTCAATGACAGATTTTCCTTCTCAAAATTATTTCACCCTCATATTTTGAATGTGTGCCCAAACTAAAATGCACACATTCAACACACAGAGAAACACATCCAGCTAGATCTTGTTATTCATTGTTAATGAGCTTACAAAGGAAATATTAGATCTAATCTGTTCAGCTTATAAACATGTTGTTTAATGTGTCTATTTGTCTTTAAAACTGTGACATGTAAAATCAAAATTAATTTGAAAAAACTATATCTAGCAGAGCTTCAAAGTGCTGTCAAAATATGCCTAGTCAGTAAGTCAAATATTAATTAAAATATGGGCCAGTATGTAATTTAATGACCAACATGAAGCGTGAAAAATAGCGTTCATTCTTCTATGCTACTCTTACTAGAATTAATTGAGAAAATAAAGCAGAATTGCTGGTTCAAAGCACAGAAACAAGAACTGAATGGGAATAGAAGGTAAAAAACCTCCCAGCTGAGATGCCAACAGTCTGCAGCAATTGCTGACATGACTGCAAAGATTCTTGGTACTTGCTTCTTGGGATAGTGCTCTACAGCCGTGAGTGCTCTACCCCTTACTCTGGTCTCCCTCTGCGCTCATTTGAGATTCTCCAAGATCAAAGGCAGAATAAAGATGGGAAAGAACCCACCAGTCAGAGCTGGGCTTATCTACAACTAACCTCCTTAAACATGTCCTCAAGTAGAGGAGGTTATTTGTCTTGTAGGCCATATTACAGCCCATAAGACACAGTGGAAACAGAAATACGAGAAGACAAAGTGAGGAAAAACAAATACAAGACATATTAACAGACTAAGAATTTTCTCCCTTGGGAAAAAAAGAAAAAGCACTTCTGAACGTAGATGAGTTACAAGACTGAAGAAAAACTCACTAAACACTCAGATAGCAAATCTGTACTAAAATGGACTGATCTTTTTAACTGTCTGTAAAGGAGTAGTAAAATGGTGATTTTAGTTCTGAAGATATCACTGAATACTGAAATTCGGAATTATTGCCTGGTTCACAGTAAAAAAAAAAAAAAAAAAAAAAGAGGATTATGAAAATACAGAAAACACACCTTAATGTACCACAAAAATAAGTCAATTAAGTGGAGAAAATTGTTACTGTGTTTAACATAGCGCAAAACAGCTAGCTGATCAAAAAGAACACTGAGAGAACACTGGCCTGATTGGAGAGTCTGGAGTTCTTCACAAGGAGAAAATATTAAGGTCTGAAGAGCTCTTTCAGACTGGAAAGAAAAATACAACCAGAACAAATACATAAGAGTCACAGCCACAGAAACTCGGCTTATAAAGAACGACAGATAAATCTCAAAAACTGAAGTGATTATTACGGGAAATAAATTTCACAAAAAAAAAAGGAGTAATTTTTCCTTCTTTTATGTCTTCAAATCAATGTCTGCAGTTTTTCAAGTAGCTGTGCTTCAGTCAAAGACAAGTTACTAGGCTCAATACAGGAATATTTAAATTAAATGTAATAGCCTGTGGTAAGCAGATGTGAAATTACTGCTAGCTCTTCTGAATCACTACTTTTGTGGATATTCAAAAATTCCCCCAAGCATTTGGATAGGAAAAATTTGCTTTCACAAATGGAAGAAATTCCTTGATCTTTACCCTTTAAAGAAAACCAGAAAATTTTAATAAGAAATATCTAAGAGGATTTCATTAGTGTTAAAAAATCAAATCTCTGAAAGCCTTTATCTCTAAAATCTCTTGTTCCTTGCAAACTTTTCTTATGTGCTTGTATGACATAGTTTAATTATGTGTCAATGTACATTTTATTTTCCCAGTATTCTTTACCCCTCACCCTCATGCTTGCACCCTCATCCTAGCACCCTGTGCACTCTTGCACAGAAAAGATCCCCTGTAAAATACAAGTAATTTTTTAGATAGCTTCAAAATTCAAAATTCTGAAGCTGGAACATGAATAGTGTTCTCTGTATACACATTGTGTGTGATATTATAAACATAAAGTGAGCAATTTTAATTTTTTAGACTGTATTACATGCACATGTAAGTAAAATAATACTCCTCACTGCACTGATCTAACAACAAGGATGTCTTGTTATGTACAGGTATTAAGAAATTCAGAGTCATCCAAGCATCAGAATTTATACAACCTCCAATGTAAGCAGATGAAATTGATATGCACATACACGCTTATATGAAACTGTGTGCCATTCCACTTATAAAATTCTGTGGAAAGCTTTGGTTCATTTCCTTGGCACATGCACATAATAGTGCTGGCTTTGATAGCCTTACCTCCTGTGTGCCCAGTGCTTCCCCATAGCTCACTGCCCTGGCAGGCCCATGACCAGTTGGCCTTGCCCAATTCCCTCCCAGTTCAGAAACCACGGGCAGGTGCTGCTTGCACCTTTCTCTCTCAGTCAGAACAGGCACTTGAAAGACTCTGACCCCTTCTCTGTCAGACTTTGAACAAGAAGGAGGGAGACTAATAAATACAGCTCCAATTAATACTTTATTTTATTTATTTAGGCAATCAATTCTTCCAGGTACAGCCAAGCAGTGATGGGTACCTAACTCAAGTTCACTGGTTAACCTCTGTAATGCTAAGTACAAACACATTTTACTGATGCCACCCTAAATCTCTTTTATGTCACAATAATAATGGAAAGCTTGAAGCATTGGCCTTCACTTCAGTAAGATATTGGCCTTTTAAGCTGTAGGCAATATGAATTAAATCACACATTAATTTAGGAGTTCATAAATTCAGAAAATCCTTTGAGAGTCTGAACTCAATCATCCAAACTTCTTTTGAATTTTTGGAATTAAACATCCAAAAAATATAAAATGCTTAGATGTCGCTGAAGATATGTGTTTGCTGGCTTAATCAAAAGTCCAGCTAAAGTAATAGAGCAAGAACTGTGGCTGTCAGTTTGAAGTGACCCTGATAGAGTCTTGAGTCTAATTCTAGATGAGAAAATTGTCTGCTTTTCTACAACAATTTTCTATTGCACTGAAATATAGGAGGCAATATTTTTTATGGTTTGAGCATTCTCCCTATGCCCAAATCTGCACAAGAAGAAGATGAAAATAGTCATGAAGTAAGGGAGTAAGGGAATCATATTTAAAAAATAAACAAAATTATTGATTCAAATAGTTGAATGTTATTTAGGGGGAATATACTATAACACACTTAAATTACTCTAGCAGAGTAAACAAGAGTGATACAACATAAGAATGGAAGGTCTCACAGCTAAATCAGGTGTTAGCATCTTATTTCAAGAAGCAGACGATCCTTCACCGACTTAAGCGAGTTGGTAGATTTTGAGACTACTGGTTAAGCTATCAGGAGGACTCAATCCTCTGCATGCTTTAAACAATCAGTGAATACATGAAAAACCTGCAGAAAATAGTCAAGATGAGAAAGAAAACTCTGCTTTAGATGTAATTTTTCTGGATATATATATGACAGTTTTTTTTAAGAAGCAACATTAAAATCATATCTACATACATATCACAAGAAAATTTCTCTTAACTATCACAACTTAGCCTAAGCACGTTTTTCAAAAGTGGAAAGTTCTCTGAGGCTGGCTTTAGACTGACCTTGAGAAAATTTTCCCCATCTCTCACTTCAGTCATCACTACTGAACTTTTCCTCTTGGCGCAGAATTTACTTTGCGCATCTTTTTAAGACACTAAACAGGAAAAAGAAATTGCACCGCCAATCAGTGAAACTGTGGTTATGGAAGGAGGAAGCATGCTAGCAAGAAGTTGGCATACTTTCAGAAAAAAATAAAAATGCATTAGTAAACCTACTAGAAGAGCTCCTTAAAGGCATTATCTTGACTAGAAGGGAGGAGC